GGGGTGAGGAAGGTATGCATATCTAGTTTAGTCACTGACAGGGCTTCTTGAGTATAGTAGTGCAAGCTGTAAGCCTGTCTGGTAATTGTTTATTTTGAAGCTAGGATTAATGTTTGAACCTTGTTGAAATACAATCATCCTAATTAAAAGGTAGTTGGGACCTTGCCTGCCCATTGGAACTGGAAGTTGCTTAGTAGGTAACTAGGTGATCAGTCACCGAATACAATTTCGAACTCCACCCTATTTCTGTTTACTACTTTCAGTTACCAGTTTCAAGTCTGTGCTGGAAAAAGCTTTTAGCTAGGTTACCAGCTACATACATAGCTTTCTAATTAAAGCTAATGCTTAACATAGGCTTTAAATTGGATGAAGTTCCATCTCTTGGTGATTCTTTCTTGTTTGCCAACAGATTACCTTCCCTCTGCATAAGCCTGGAATAGTCATCGTTCTGCTGAGACACCTGTGTCTAAAGTTAAATCCTCCCAGCTGTGCCTGAGTGAAGCTGGACTTAAATTTTAATTTTATCCCTATTCAACTTTAGCACAGAAGAGAAGAGCCTTACTTATAAGCTGAAACTTGAAGAAACTGTCTTTAGTATGAAACAGTTCTATTTTTAGTCAGTGTGTTGTCTATTACTGCAACAGATTGTTTAGAGCCATTTTGCCTGTGATAGTGGCCTACAGAAAATAGGTTCCTACCTCATAGCCCTTTCATGAAGCCAGGTTTCATGTTTATAGTGGAGGTTTTCCAAATATTCAAGCTCAATTCCTTGCTCTTCTTCTCTTCCCCTCATCTGTAGCCTTTCCATGCATTTCTGAAAAAGTAAATGCAAACCTGAACGTTAATAACACGTTGAAGACTAAATCGGCCAAACTGAAGTGTTCCTCTTAAGTCAGAAGGACTAATGCTTCCTAACAACAGACCGAAAACTACCAAGGCAGATAGTAAGCTTCCCTAACTGCATTCAGGAATGCATGGGGTATCTACAGGTTACTCCATTATTTGTTAGGTGGCTTGCTTTGGGCATAAGAACAGTCTTACTAGGCCAATATTAAGCAAAGGACTGACAATCCTTATAATAAAACTCTTAATGGTGGAGAATGTTCTAAGAGGTAGACATCAGTGAGCATTAAATTGTAAATTATGCCTGAACAGAGAAAACAAATTATAGTTTAGGATCACTTTCTTATAGCTTTCAAAAACAACTTGAGCCACTAACTAGCCAGATGTCAATAGGCTTTAAAAGATTCTTACTGCTTGTCCCTTCTGTGTACACCTCTGAGTTAAAGTGGAGTGAAACCTGATTCAGAAGTTCAAATTCAGCCTAGGATTCTTAATATCAGCATTGAATGCTAGCAGTTGTAGCATCTAAACATCATGTCCTGAAAAACTTACTTTTGGGGGGGGGAAGGTACTTAAGCTCCTAGAAACAAAAAGCTTTTCGGCTAATACTTTGTCTTTAGTGAGCATACCTGAGGTGTGGTTCTTAGGTAGATCATGCCATCCAATTCAATATCAGATTCAAACTGGTTCAAAAGCCACGTGTGCCAGTCCTGATAGATAGCCCACTCTGTTTCATTGATGTTTCCAGATTCAAACAGATTGGAGGCAAACACATATCTGCAACGAAAGATGCTGCATCATGCCAGGAAAGTGACAAAAGTGTGAACTCCTTTACAGAAAACTCTTCAGAATTGGAATCACAGCACTAAGAAAATAATCACCCACTCTTACGTTCATAAAGTATTTATGCCATTTAACTTGTACTAGCGTTAAACTTGTTCCTTGTAAGCCCTAGGCTGCAGTAGTTTGCCTTTCCAGACAACTACAGATGACCAAAGACGCTACTATAACAAAACGTTGCATTTGAAAGCCTAGATCTAATGCTCTTCTGGAGCAAATGCTAGAGTTGAGCATCAGTTTCCCCAGCTTCTTTCTTTGTATAAAGGCTTGGAGCTATTACTCTGAACTTGGTAGCACTGAGAAAGTAGTTACCTGTCACTGTACACGGATCTCTCAAAAAATTGCACTGGGTTTTCTGCTTCATGCAGCTTGGCTGAGACAGGTTTTAATTGTGCCCTTACACGGCTCAAGCAAGCATAAGTCTGAAATGTATAAGCCCATCTTGTGGGTTTATCATACAACATTTTCAGTAGATTTCCTCCACTCTTCTGAGATGTTGAAAGTTCCTGGGGAACAAGATAGGATTCATTAGATATCAGTGTATTTCAGTATTTGATGCATCATTCTTACCTTAATCCAAAATTCTTGTTCAAGTAAGAATTTATGGCCCTGTATTTTTAGGAAGTGGCGTGGGCACCGGAATAACATTTGTTTCTCAGCTGATGGTAGTGTCTTTAGTCTGACAGCTTATTTAGGTTTATCAGTGAATTGCAGATTCCATATGGGCTGGTACACTTTAATATGGGATTCCGGTGAGGTAGGGGTGACTGTTTGGAAGATGCATTGCATAGTATCTTTGTAAATAGTTGGCAATCTATAAATGTGTGTCTAATCAAACTAGGATTATAGTGGGGCTGACTCTGGATGGTGTCAGGAAGAAGCACACTCTCTCCACACTATATATATAGCTGAATTCTGGCATGGCTCCTTTGGCCAGTCTTCCTGGTTCCTTTTGGTTCCTTCCCGCCCCCCACCTGTTAAGCTTCCCAAGTCCTGTGCACCTACCTCATACTCATTAGCTGCCTGAATGTTGCACCACTTGGCAATAGGTTCAGGGATTACCTCCCACTCATCACTGTGTTTCTCTAGTAGCCTGACAAATGTAGACTTTCCTGCAGCTGCAAAAGATTTGGAAAATTCATCAAGGATGTGGCTTACAGTCCCACTGCCCAAAATACAGTGGCTTTTGTGAGGTCCGTAATGAGGTTTTGTTTAGCGGGTTCTGCAGTGTTTGAGATGGAGGGCTGTGTTCCTGCAGCGGTGTGATGGGACCTGGGGCAGGATTCAGGCCTGGCTCTGGCTTGGGAGCCCCTAGGAACAGGGCTGGAAGCTGGGGAAGGGCTGTCCGAGGCTGCCTGCACGGTGCTGGTGCACGTAACAGGTTAGAACTGTGCTAATCTCTAGCTCCAGAAGGACTTGCCCGGGTGGGAAAGGCGATAAGGAGGCGAACGTAGCTCCCCTTTCGGATAAGGGTTGCTGCCACCATTTTAGAAACGGAGGTGGG